GTTCCGTGTGTGATGAAAGTCTTCATCTTGGGAATATGTACAACCCTGCCTGCCGCCAATGACAGCTTTATAAGTAACGATTAGTTTAAAAAAAACCTTCTGCCAACTAGGCTGTATCATATATGGCTAGCAGGAGGTCAAACCATGTAGCCTGCCTGCTTATCCACTCCACATTAGCATCAGACAACAGACGAAGCAGGCAGGGGCAGCGAAATGCCTTTAATCCTGTTAGCAGATCTGTTAGTTGTAACTTAAGTAGTAGTAATAACTGTACGATAGTATCATATGCAAAGTAACTGTAAGTACAGTAAGTAGACGCAGTACAACGTGTGTACTGTAAGCATGTATTCTTCTTCTATCATATCATATCAAATCACGTCATATGATATATATATACTTTGTATTAGTAAAACTGGCGACCGTCCTGGCAAGATCCTTGATTAGTTTAACTTGGGTTTCGTTGGCTGGAGAACGATTGTTCTTGCCCGCCAAGGCTAGGTAGTTGTGACCGTCACGTGCAAAGTATGAATAGGAGGCCTCATAGTTACAACAGTACCATTTCAGGACCATTATTGGACTGTGTTTAGCAGATGTTATGTGAAAGGAGCCTATTGGACACACGTAAGACCATTTGCAGTCTTAAAGGGGCACTACAGCAATTTAGTATTCCATTAGTATTTCACTTCCATAACAGCAGGGTTCTGGTATGAGGCAGATAAAAAGCAGGTGCTGAGATATCCTGACTTTTATCCCTAATATGGCTCATGCTCCAAAAACAATGGAGCCTACATTTTCCATCATGCTACTCTCATTAAACCCTCCCTGCTTCTCCACACCTTCAGTTTGTAATGCAGAGGCTCTATGTTAAACACTGAATGAGAATACCCTGATGACATCATTAGCTTTTTTTCAAAGATGACATTATACAACTGCTGAGAAAACTGAACTTAAAAATACTGAATTTGTGCAAAAGGAATTAATGCACTCTAATAAAAACTGAACATCTTTGAGCATATAGGCAGGAAGAAATGTAGAAAAATCTTATAATTTAGGGCAACATTTGGTCCATAACAATGGTGCATCATGGTTAACATTGGAGAACAATGGAGTTAACGTGTTCATTGACTTCATTTGTCAGTGTCACAGAAATGAAGCAGAGACAAATTTATGGCCCAACAATGTTGGAGCAGACGTGACAGACTCAGAATTAAACGTCCGCTCATTATTTCCCTGCTTACTATCAGAAGGCCAGTTAGTAATGAGGTACAGCACTATTGATAGAGATGCATTGCTCTCCGTGGGGGCCACTGAAAATTTGTCCAAGCTTAAATAAAATGAGAATAAAAATAATTGATTGAAAATCAATGCACATACATCATTCACTCTTTTGTTAAAAGGAGAAATGGAAGGGAAGAGAGAGGGGAGAAAAAGAGCTCCTGGAAAATCGATATTCATTCGAATCATAAATCAGAATTGAGTCAGCGCTTGCGGGGAGGAGAGATAATCATTGGCCTGGTTTTGGATTACATACTCCACAGGGCTGAGGCTTGTCCAGCCTGCAAATGTGTTTAGCTTTGTTACAATACCCCCCCCCCTCGTCACATTTCTTTGCCCCCCCCACACACATACACACACACGCACACACAAACGTGAACGGTGAGATCTTCTCATTGAAATGCATTGATGGTTTAGTGGGATGTCGGCCTTATGTGCTGCTGTCAGGCCACGTCTGGGGGACAGATCAACATGTGTGTACAATGGGTCGCGTGGTGTCAGCTCCATCAGGCCATCAATGAGGAGCCGCTGCCTCCCAGCGGCTCTTGACCTTGAGGATGAAGAGTGGGCCCTGTGAGTGTGTGTGTGTGTGTGTGCGTTTAATCTGCGTTTCTGAGCGGACATGCATAGGACACAGCAATCAGTCAGGACGCTCTCGTGATGTTTGGTGATGGAGGATTGTGAATTGGTTTGTGCGCTCGCATTCAGAACAGACCGATGTATCAGGCTGCTGATATATTGGGGGAGAAATCATTATTGTCCACCTCCGATATGATGGAGGTTCTTCCCTTAAAGAATTACATTATTAATGTGTGTTTATTAGTAGGAGACAGTCCATATTAATCCTAAATTTATCAACACTATCCTTTTGAATACATCTATTTAAATACGCTGAGGTTAGCTCAATCACAATACTTGGTTCTGATACTCTTAAAGAAACTGTTTTGAAGTTTTATGTGTTTACAGTATTTTTCAAAAATTGTGACGGCATAAGTTTTAGCTGACCAAAATTAATGACATTCCCATCAGCGTCAGCTGTATATTGTGTTTAGTGCTAAACAGCAAATGTTATCATGCTAACATGTTGAACTAAGATAGTAAACATTACATAATGGCTATCAACATGTTAGAGTTGCATACATGAGATAAGTGAGTAGACCATACTAAAAATCTCAGTTTCAGATGATTTTAAACACGCATAGTAGCTTTGAATAAAAAATAAACGTAATACAAAATCTGAACAAATTAGGGATCAGGACTTCATGGAAACCCTCCTAGTAAAGTGGAAATTGGCAGTGTCAGTTCATCAGAAGCATTCAAAATGCACTGTAATTCACTGTAACTGTACGTAAGTACGTAACCATGTGTATGGTGGTGCTGTTTTGACAACAGCAAATTACCGGTGACCATACAGGCTGTGTCATACAGCCTTGAGGTTATCACTCAAGTGAATAGCAACAGAGTCAGTTTCTCTTATCTACAGAGACACTCTCAGTGCCCTCAGGAGTCTCTCTGTTCAAATGAAACAAATAGCCTTTTCTGGAAAAACAAACATTGAGGGAACCAGATGTACCCCCTCCAAACTGAGCACCATTCACTCCGACCAACTGCAGATTCGGAAAATGCGGAAACACATTGTGCCAGCGAGAGATTTCAAGTAGTGCTTTGTTTAAACATTACAGTCACGCAGGGAGAGATTTCAGTGGTAGATCTTAAAAGTGCTGGAAAATCTGCAGGACAGTTCAATGGTCATTGTTTCACACAGGGTTTTGCATTCAGGGGCTGAAGGTTGTTTTTCTCTCCAGTGATGCCAACTCCACACTAAAGGCTACTACCATTACACATGGTGGAGGAATGTTAAGTATTTTATTATTTTCTGCCAACCTCTGTGGGAACCGGCACTCTCTGGGTGTTTCGGGGGCGGTATTTATCGAGGCCACGGTATAAACACAAACCCAACCTACTGATTAGGAAACTGGGATGTATTCATTCTACACTTTCGGGTGTGGGAGAGAAAGAGGAGGGAGGGGCATGCGGGGGGGGTGTCGTTGCGATTGGGTTACCGGGGTTTCGTGCGAACTGTGGGGTTACATGACCATGGAACACGCTGAGCTGAAGTGTGGCGGGTTTTCGGACTCTTAGTATAGGATCACTTATCACCCAGAGCACGCAGATGGATTGCACATGCATGAAGTAAAAGTCGAACCACTGACTCATCAGTTTCATAGTCAGTGTTGCAGTAAACATTGAGATGTTATCATTCTGTTTGTCATTCCCTGTACAGGGGCACAGTGATTGTCGTGCCTACTGGCATGTTTTTTTAATCTGCCCACCTCCCCTATAAAACAGGAAAACCCTGATTGTTTATAGTTTTATTCTCTTGTGTGTGGACTTAAAATCCCAATTATCCCACAATCCCAGCAACATCAACAGTGGTACAGGGCCTTCTTCAGGAAATTGTTTAGCCGAGGCGATAAGCCACCTAGATCTTGCAGCATTTCCTCTTGTGATCAGTTTAGTTAGTAGGTTATTGTGGCTATTGTTTAGCCAATGAGCTACTAACAGCCGAAACAATAGCCACTCACTGTTCCTTCCCCCTTAATGTTGTATTTCATAAAAGTATGTGAATATTTATTTTTATTATTATATTTATTATATATATATTTTTTGTTTAGTTTCGGGTGAGGCAGCCCACCTCAGCTGTAAAACACTAAATAAATCCCTGATAATTTTGTTGAGAAAAAAAAGTTCTAAAGCTGTTTAGATCTCAAAAGTATTAAC